GAGGTGGGCGGATCACGAAGTTAAGAGATCGAGACCATCCTGGCCAACATGGTGAAACGCCGTGACTACTAAAAATACAAAAATTAGCTGGGCGTGGTGGGGGGACACCTATAATCCCAGCTACTCCGGAGGCTGAGGCAGGAGAATCGCTTGAACCTGGGAGGCGAAGGTTGTAGTGAGCCGAGATCGCGCCACTGCACTTCAGCCTGGTGACGGAATAAGAGTCCGTCTCAAAAAAACAAAAAACCACCACCACATTCCGCGGGAACAACGGCCAAGAACGGCCTTATCATGGGAAAATCTTATCAACATCCTGCAGGGCAGCAAGCCATATGGCCCAGACCCCTCCCGCCATACGTTTAAGTACCCCAGCGGTGGGCACTGGCTGGTTCCCTGCTTCTGTAGGTCTTAGTCTGGACCTAAAGCCTGCATTTGCTGTACAGCCGCCTCTCGGTCTTTAACGCTCACTTTCCCTTCAGAATTTAACAAGGAGCTTATTCTTAAAATATGTGCCCAGTTACAGCCATAAAGGTATCATAGACAGGGAAATATGCTGCCCACGTTGGGCCTAATGCAGGCACCATGAGGATCAAGGTGCAGAGCATTGTTTTCTATTGGCTCACAAAGCTGACACGCCCATACTGATCCCATTAGTAATTTGAAGCCATCTGACGCTAGTGGTGTAATATTTTTTTACTTATTTCTTTCTTGAGACAGGGGTCTCGCTATGCTGCCCAGGCTGGTCTCGAAATCCTGGGCTCAAGTCATCTGCCCGCCTCGGCCTCCGAAAGTGCTAGGGTTACAGGCGTGACCCACCGCTCCGTTAAGCACTATTTTTAAAGCAATTGTTTGAGTGGTCGGTCGCAATCAGGGAATATGCTATTTTGTGTCATGATTCCCACACTTTTCGTTGTTCACAAGGTGTTGTTTTATCGTTGAGAAACAATTTTCAGTAAGTGGGGACAACACTCTCCTCCCCAAACACTTCCAGCGTTTTCTTGGGATCGGGAGACTAGAGAAAACAGATCGGCGACCGGCAGCTTCTTCCTCTCCGCCACAGTTGGCTCCCCGGCCCCGGTACCTAAGCCAATGGTGGTCACGCGCACGCCCCCGCCCGCCCCGCCCCCCGCGTGCACGCCCGTGCATGCCCCGCCCCGCGGCGGAGACGCGCTCGCTGCGTCATCAGTGTTTTCGAGCCTAGTCCCGACGCTGCGGCTGTCAGCTCCATTTTGCTGTCGTTGCCCGTCTCAGTCAGCTGTGTGATTCCCGTGATAGCGTTACAAGCTTTGTCTCCTTCGGCTTGGTGTCTCTGT